CATCTGGAGTAAACACAGGGTGGGCAGGTGGGTTAAATGACATCCGGTGACATGGTGCAGACATCGCGTGCTTTGTAGTCGAGCTGTAAAAACAAACATTCAAGCCAAGAATGAACCCGAGTTGGTACGTCCGTCATTGTCGCATATGGCCTTTTGACATGCGCCCATGACACGGGGACTGCTGTGTCTGGCGTGCACTTACGAATTACGCGGAGCGTGGCCCATAGTTCGTAGGCCAATGCAGCGGTTTATGTGGCTGAGCTCGCACGCCAGCTTCAGAAACCGCATGCCACAGGAAAAGAATTTCATTCCTGCGAGCTTGGAAAACCAGAGGCAAAAAATCTCCGTGCTTCGTCTATTGCTGAAAATTATGCGGAATGACGAAAGTCGAAGCTGTCGGAGATGCAAAACCTTAAACACACGGATAGCACCATCAAGGCTCAATAGCTTGAGGGCACACTCGGCTATACAATTCTCCAGACCCTTTTGAATTTGCTGTGCTGTTCCAGCCAGGAGGCAGCATGCAGCAGCGGTGAATGCTCAACGATTAACGGCACGTGGATGAACTTCAACAATGTGTGCACAAGCAATTTCAGCAATGTTTTATGAAGCCTGTCGAAGTCTAGTTCGAACCGCAAGTCAAAAAGTAATGTGCCCGCACATCCTGAACACCGCCACTGAAAGCCGCCATTCTGCCTGGCTGCTCAGTCGGGAATGAGGGAATGTATAGAGCATCCCTAATCAAACTTCGAACCGCTTCAAGACTTTAATGAACATAGGCTGGCATTGTCTCACTCGCACTCTCTCATTGCCCAACTGCGTAGCCAGTGTGTGCATCCGCCGCAGTCCGAGACAGCAACTCGTGACCCGTGAACCTTCGGCTCTAAAGTCAAGAGGCCCACTAACAAGGGTTAGGATTTAGAGTCTGCGAGAGCCATACTATCGGGCTAAATGCCTCAGTCCTTCTTCTCGATCTGACCTTTGGTGCACGCGGGCTCGGGCTCGAACAAGGCCGCCACTGCCTGTTTTCACCGGCTGAGGCGATGTCTCGTATAGCTTCACCTAGGACCTAGGTGCCGTCGCCATTGTGCTGCTGCACCACTCTACTAAACTCCATCCTGAAATATCCTGAGAGTTTTCCCGCATGCCTGTAGCCTATCGTCTACTGCGCCCCTCCTCCGTGACTCTGTATTCTGTTATGATTCTAGATTCTAGTCCACATCGTCAACTTCCCGTTGCGCATGATCGAAGCGCTTCGTTTGCAGAATGTCTCCATGCTTTGGGCTGCTGTTTTCGAGAATGCAAAATCCAAAAGGCTGCAAAGGGCTGGGGTTGTGGACTGAATGTAACGGGCTGAGCTAGGGCAGGTTCCAGGCTACGCGTCTCAGTCTCTTTACTGACGAAGAGAGACCACCAGCGCCAAAGATCAGCAGTCGACTCTGAAATGGGAAACCCATCTTCATCTCTGTGCCTGGCAACTCCCTGCCAAGAAGGTTGAGGTGAACCTTATACCCCTCATACCTCTACCTTGAACGCTGAATGCAGGCAAGAGTCAGTGATCCAGGGCCGTACGAGCCTGGACAAAAGCGATAGCAATATTGCTGTTTTGATGCCTTCGCGAGGTTTCCAAAGCATTTTCAGGATGACGTGGCAAGATAAGAAGTGCCCAGGTGCAGCTGCGCACGCAGGATGCTCAATGCATCATCGTGCCCATACCAGCATAGACGGGACTTGTAGTGGGTGCAGCAGCATTGTGGCTGGATTCGGCCAAGCCACAAAAAATCATGCGGAGTCAGCGGAAGCAAGTTAGCGACATGAGGGAAGCTTGCCGATACAGCACCCTCCGTGCAAGTAGGGGCTACGCTCTCGTTATTATTGCTACTATTAGAACAGTTGGTAGTTCCTTTGTTACCATTGTTCGTGCTACTGCCACTGCCACTACCACTACTACTACTACTACGACGACGACGACGACGAAGACGGCTACGACTACTACCACTCTACCACTCCTGCTAATGCTACTTCTACTGCTGCTACTGCCACTAGTGCTACAAGTACTGT